ACAAACTAAACGCCGGTCATGGAGGAAATATGTGTCCAAAATCAACCCCGGCACACCCATGTCCAAGGTGTGGAACATGATTCAAAAGATTAAGGGCACAGGATCCACAACTGGTGGTTGCCATCTCAATAAAGTTGAAATTGCAAACAAACTTGGCGAAACTTTGGCAAACCACTCCTCCTCGTCAAACTATAACCCCAAGTTCCAGAAATACCAAACCCAACAAGAAAAGAAATCAGTCAATTTTAACTCTGATAATAGTGAGGATTACAATGAAACGTTTTCTCTCCATGAACTACGTACTGCACTAGGGCAGGCTCACGACACTGCAGCAGGAGCTGATGATATTCATTATCAGCTTCTGAAACACCTTCCTGATTCAAGTTTGGAAACTCTACTCAATATATTTGATGACATTTGGACAACCGGCAACTTTCCTTCTTCGTGGCACAACGCCATTATCATCACTATACCAAAACCTGGCCGGGATCATACCGATCCCTCAAACTACCGTCCTATATCACTAACCAGCTGTGTTTGTAAAACCATGGAGCGCATGGTCAACAATCGATTAATCTGGTACTTGGAGACCAATAACCTCCATAGTGACCTTCAATGTGGTTTCCGAAAAAAACGAAGTACCATTGACCATCTGGTGCGTCTGGAATCTTTCATAAAAATTTCATCGTCAACAAACAACATACTGTATCTATCTTCTTCGATTTAGAAAAAGCATACGATACAACGTGGAAACATGGTATCTTAAAAGATTTACATGAATTTGGATTGAGGGGCAGATTACCTCAGTTCATATCTCAGTTTTTAAACAACAGACAATTTCAAGTTCGGGTAGGTTCCACATTGTCTGATTGTTTTCACCAAGATCTGGGCATCCTTCAAGGCAGCATCCTGTCTGTCACCCTGTTTAGCATCAAAATAAACAGCCTCACTAACGTCCTGAACAGTTGTGTAGATGGGTCCGTTTTCGTGGACGATTTCAATATTTCATGCTGTGGTAAGAACATGCACACAATAGAAAGGCAGCTACAACTCTGCCTTAACAAAATAAAAAAATGGGCCAATGAAAATGGCTTTAAGTTTTCAAAATCCAAACAAATTGTATTACCTTTTGTCGTAAATACAGACCACTCAAGGATCCAGACGTATCTTTAGATGGTACTCCCATCAAGGTAGTAGAAGAGGCCAAATTCCTGAGACTCATATTCGACCGCTACCTGACATTCTTACAACACATAAAATATTTGAAAACCAAGTGTTTGAAGGCTCTGGACTTACTAAAAGTCGTTTCAAATACAGAGTGGGGAGGGGATCAGATTACCCTCTTCCACTTGTAAAGATCTTTCGTTCGCTCTAAACTAGACACGGCTCCATTGTTTATGGTGGAGCCTGCAAAAGCAATTTAGAAAAAATAGATTCTATCCACCACCAAGGCCTGAGGCTCTGCCTGGGAGCTTTTAGGACCTCTCCGGTATAGACAGTCTATATGCAGAGGCTAACGAACCTTCCCTTGAACAACGCCGCATTAAACTTTCACTGCAGCATATCACTAAACTACGTTCAAATCAGTCCAATCCAGCATACAATTGTGTTTTCAACCCTCTCTATGAAAACTTGTTTCCTAAACTGCCAAGCCTGGTTCCACCACTTGGAAATCAAAATCCAACCACACATATCTGCAGCTAAAATTGATCTCAATAGCATAGCACCCTACCGACTCCTGTCTTCACCACCCTGGCAGATGGTGAAACCTCAGGTCGATCTTACCCTCACTAAACTGAAAAAGTCTGAAACAAATCCCTTGGTGTTCCAGCAGGAATACATCCAGTTACGTTCCAAATATGACACCCATAGATCCATTTTCACAGACGGATCCAAGCATGAGGGCCAAGTTGCCAGTGCTACAGTCATTGGATCTAAGACTGTCTCCTCTAGGATTCCCGACAACAGTTCCATTTTCACTGCCGAGGCCAAAGCTATCTTTTCAGCTTTGACCTGTATTAAACAGCAGAATCATTCCAAAAACTTCATCGTTTTCACAGATGCATTATCTTGCCTTCAAGCACTTCAAAATGTTACTTCAAGTCATCCAATCATTCTGGACATGTTAGAACTTTACAACAACCTCTCTACTGCCCAATGTGACATCGTGCTCTGCTGGTTGCCGGGTCACGTCGGCATAGCAGGTAACACAAAAGCCGATGCTGCAGCAAAAGCAGCTCTTGACAAGCCCCTATCTCCACTGCTGATCCCGTACAGTGATTTCAAACCCACTATCAAAAGCTATACTCGGGACCTCATGCAAAAAGATGGGACGGAAGTAGGAAGAAAAAAACTGTATGAATTGAAGCCAACAATTGGTTATACCTACTTGGGTTATCAGTCAAGACGTGATGAGGTAACTTTACGACGATGTCGTATTGGCCACAGTCGGTTTACTCATGACTATCTCCTGAAAACGGATGGGGATGTACCCCCATGTGTGTCTCTTACGAGGAGGTTTTCACCATCAAGCATATCCTGCTTGAATGCGTGGACTTACCGTCTGCAAGGGACTCACATTATGATGCAGCAAATCTGAAAGATCTGTTCTCCCGCGTGAGCGTTCATCCGATAGTGAACTACCTGAGGGAAGTTGATCTGTATCATAAATTGTAACTGTGCAATGTGACTTACAAAGAGCCTACCTTTAAATTTGGTGCTATGACTTTTTCTGCTTTTAAATGGCAATGTAATGAATATATGTTTTTGAAATACATCTCATTCCGAGTTTGTTCTTACAATGTTTATCAATGCCAACTTGTTCTCGTCACTATATGGCTGGAACAATGCCGATGTGACGCAAAACCCAACTCAACTCAACTCTTTTAGCAGGACCATTCAAGATGCAATTCTGATGTTTTGCCGGGAAATGTATACAAGTTTACCTATACACTGATCTGTGTTTCCTTGAAACAAATGTAAGAACAAGGTACAATCCATATGAAAGTGGGGCGGTGGGGTAGCCTAGTGGGTAAGGCGTTGGCTCGTAACGACGAAGACCCGGGTTCCATTGTCCACATGGCCACAATGTGTGAAGCCCATTTCTGGTGTCCCCCGCAGTGGTATTGCTGGAATATTGCTAATAGCGGCGTAAAACTAAACTCAGTCAGTCAGCCATATGAAAAGTTCATTCATATAACTGTGAGACCTTAAGAAGCTTAATAAAACAAAACTATACAAAACATTAAATGTCTGTTGTGCTTTGTTCTCTAGCACAGTGACAAGAAGAAACATTATATGAAATACAAAGGACATGACAAGGCTCGCTAGATACAACGTTTATTCCTAATGCGGGATATTAACCATCCCAAAACACACTCGTGTGATGACCCATATTTCCGTCATTTATGGCAAGTTATTTTATACATTGGATGCATAATGTTCTACATAAGAATCAATTTCCACAGTTACATCAGGCAGTATTTTCCTAGTTTCCCTAAAGAATAAAATAAAGATAGACCCGTCGAACTGAGCTGTACGATAAAAGCGGAGAAAATTAATACTGTTTTTACGGCATAACAAAATAGCGGAAAACAATTTACAATGTTCCCTTTACAAGCCGTATAAGTATGTGTACTTGAATTTACGTCATTATCAACTTGTGTGTAATTGTCACTTCCGATCGTTTCGTATTGGTTCTTGTTTCACCAATTTTTACATTGTCAAACAGAATAACTCGTATAAATTACATTGAATTTACAACAGCATACCGTTGTCATGAGTTAAGAAGAGTTTTGAATTTATATTATCAATTAATCCGTAATGAATAGACACACTTGTTACAATGCACATATTCTTTACATTTACAAAAGAGATTTGTTAAATTCCTACCTATTCTCGGCCTTTTTAATCACAGCATTGCCCTTTTCTGTCATACTGCCGTGAAATGTCAATGTCAAAGCCAACTTGTTAGGGGAAGTAACTCCTGTTTTTTCCTAGGTGACTTTTGTCTTTGTGAGATGACGAATAATGTCAGTTCAAGTAAGGATTTTCATACAAAAACACAAAAAAAACCAAAACAACAATGACAAATAAAGTGAAAATTTCAGGAAGTATGGAAATTCGAATTGTAGTGGCAATTGGATATTAAAAAGTCTCATTAAATATTTTAAACCCATTCGAGTACGAGTTTACTCAAATTTCTGGACACAAGATTTTAATTTTCATATGTATGACGTTTCCTTCTAGATCTACGAAGTCCATCCAAGGCTTAATTGCACCGCTTTCATCCTTTATACTTGGATATCTAGTCTTTCCATTTATCTTGTAAACCAGATTGTAGGTGCCGTTGTCTAAGTGTTTTAATGCAATGAATTATGGGTGACTGCTTTCTTACTAGTTAGCATCTGTCTTAGCTGGGACACTTTCGAGAAGTGGCACCCAGTCATCCAGCTACCAGTGTGCTGCACTGTAACACATGGCGCAGAAAACAGCTGGTGGACCTTGTACAACCCCAATATGTAAAATCAACACAATATGTAAAAACTAACGCAACATGTAAAAACTTAACGCAAAACGTAAAGCTTTACATATTGCGTTAGTTTTACATATTATGTTGATTTTACATATTGGGGTTGTACAGACCTCGGCTTTGTAAGAGGTTACAGTGCAGATGTAAACGAACAGTTTGTTGTTGTCTGTTCTACCATTAGTCAGAAAATATGGCGGACTCGTAATCAAAACAGATCTACTTTATTACAAACAGGGTTGACATAACGACGATACACCATCAATATTTAGTCAGCAATATCCTTACCTGATCATGTTTCCAAACACAGGACAATGTCTGAAAGTGTTCTCATTGTTCAAGATTTATTTCCCCTAAAACACATAAAGTACTCTCACCTTAATACTGAATTATTAACAACGTGGTCACGTCAACGGCTCACGCAACGTCACTGTCAATAACGGCGTGTCCTCCATCACTGACCGCATCAACACTACACATTAACTCCACTGTGTACCACGATGATGAACAGTTGATGATGTCCCTTGCCTCTCGCCACGTCGGCCGCTGTATCCCCGTTGTTGTTCGTGGCGTCGATGTCCACCCCGTCCAGAAACAGTACAAACTCCACTGTCTTCCTGTCTCCTCCCACACAGGCCCAGTGAAGGATGTTGTCACCGTCATTAGTCACCAGTGACACATCAGCACCTCGCCTAACAAGGAGCTCCACCCCATCTCTGTGTCCCCTCAGTGCTGCCCACATCACCGGTGTCCTCCCGAACACATCTCTACTGTTGACGTCAATCCGACTTGTGTCCAGGATCCGCTTCACCTCCGCCAGGTTCCCCTTCATGCAGGCGGCACGGAGGTCGGCGTCTGCCCGGGCGTCTCTCCGTGCGGGTGTCGATGTCGCTGTAACACAAAGTAAACTCTGTACACAGGTCGGACATCTTCATCTTACAGCTACATTGTTCACATCTTACACTGATGATACAAAACACTCGATAAATCATCTATACAGGCAGTATGGCTGACAGCATAATGGCGGGTGTACAGGGAATCACAAGAACTGACAGCAACATGGCGGGTGTACAGTGAATCACAAGAACTGACAACAACATGGAGGGTGTACAGGGAATCACAAGAACTGACAGCAACATGGCGGGTGTCCAGGGAATCACAAGAACTGAGAGCAACATGTCGGGTGTACAAGGGAATCACAAAAACTGACAACAACATGGCTGGTGTACAGGGAATCACAAGAACTCACGGCAACATGTCGGGTATACAGGGAATCACAAGAACTGACAGCAACATGGCGGGTGTACAAGGGAATCACAAGAACAGACAACAACATTGCGGGTGTACAGGGAATCACAAGAACTGACAACAACATGGCTGGTGTACAGGGAATCACAAGAACTCACAGCAACATGTCGGGTATACAGGGAATCACAAGAACTGACAGCAACATGGTGGGTGTACAAGGGAATCACAAGAACTGACAACAACATGTCGGGTATACAGGGAATCACAAGAACTGACCGCAACATGGTGGGTGTACAGGGAATCACAAGAACTGACAACAACATGTCGGGTGTACAGAAAATCACAAGAACTGACAACAACATGGCTGGTGTACAGGGAATCACAAGAACTCACAGCAACATGTCGGGTATACAGGGAATCACAAGAACTGACAGCAACATGGCGGGTGTACAAGGGAATCACAAGAACTGACAACATGGCGGGTGTACAGGGAATCACAAGAACTGACAACAACATGTCGGGTGTACAGGGAATCACAAGAACTGACAGCAACATGGCGGGTGTACAGGGAATCACAAGAACTGACAACAACATGGCGGGTGTACAAGGGAATCACAAGAACTGACAGCAACATGGCGGGTATACAGGGAATCACAAGAACTGACAACAACATGGCGGGTGTACAAGGGAATCACAAGAACAGACAACAACATTGCGGGTGTACAGGGAATCACAAGAACTGACAGCAACATGGCGGGTGTACAAGGGAATCACAAGAACAGACAACAACATTGCGGGTGTACAGGGAATCACAAGAACTGACAACAACATGGCTGGTGTACAGGGAATCACAAGAACTCACAGCAACATGTCGGGTATACAGGGAATCACAAGAACTGACAGCAACATGGTGGGTGTACAAGGGAATCACAAGAACTGACAACAACATGTCGGGTATACAGGGAATCACAAGAACTGACCGCAACATGGTGGGTGTACAGGGAATCACAAGAACTGACAACAACATGTCGGGTGTACAGAAAATCACAAGAACTGACAACAACATGGCTGGTGTACAGGGAATCACAAGAACTCACAGCAACATGTCGGGTATACAGGGAATCACAAGAACTGACAGCAACATGGCGGGTGTACAAGGGAATCACAAGAACTGACAACATGGCGGGTGTACAGGGAATCACAAGAACTGACAACAACATGTCGGGTGTACAGGGAATCACAAGAACTGACAGCAACATGGCGGGTGTACAGGGAATCACAAGAACTGACAACAACATGGCGGGTGTACAGGGAATCACAAGAACTGACAGCAACATGGCGGGTATACAGGGAATCACAAGAACTGACAACAACATGTCGGGTGTACAGGGAATCACAAGAACTGACAACAACATGGTGGGTGCACAGGGAATCACAAGAACTGACAGCAACATGGCGGGTGTACAGGGAATCACAAGAACTGACAGCAACATGGCGGGTGTACAGGGAATCCAGGAACTGACAACAACATGGCGGGTGTACAGGGAATCACAAAAACTGACAACAACATGGCTGGTGTACAGGGAATCACAAGAACTCACAGCAACATGGCGGGTATACAGGGAATCACAAGAACTGACAGCAACATGGCGGGTGTACAGGGAGTCACAAGAACTGACAGCAACATGGCGGGTGTACAGGGAATCACAAGAACTGACAACAACATGGAGGGTGTCCAGGGAATCACAAGAACTGACAGCAACATGGCGGGTGGACAGGGATCCCAAGAACTGGTTCTTCACACATTAGATATTGCCATGATTTTGTAACAACTGACAGTTCTAACACAGTTTTGTGTATGTGTGGAGAGTTGTCTGTCCACTACAACACACGTGACATTGTCTCCATCCACTCGTGTGTCAGGTCTAAAGGATGTCAAGTTAAGGATGTAAGCATTGTTGAAATATTACCAGGTGCGTTAGGAAATATGAAACATATTTTCTCCAATTTTTAGTTTTGATCATAAGTCACAACAAGTATGATTTATCTAATCCTAAATTATCAACAGGTTCGACCAGTGCCATGACATTCACATACGTATTACGTATAACGTATTTTGCATCCACAATAAACAAAAGAATTTGTATAGAAAAGAAAACATGAAGTTTTAGACAATGTTTAAATGTATGTTTCCTTCCAGACATTATAGTGAGGAAGTCCCAAAGAATATCTCTGAGAATACATGTATATAAATTAGAGAGAAAAGACCAAACTATGTAAACCAGTTTCCTTCCAGACATTATAGTAAGGAAGTCCCAAAGAATATCTATAACAATACATGTATATAAATTAGAGAGAAAAGACCAAACTATGTAAACCAGTTTCCTTCCAGACATTATAGTAAGGAAGTCCCAAAGAATATCTATAACAATACATGTATATAAATTAGAGAGAAAAGACCAAACTATGTAAACCAGTTTCCTTCCAGACATTATAGTAAGGAAGTCCCAAAGAATATCTATAACAATACATGTATATAAATTAGAGAGAAAAGACCAAACTATGTAAACCAGTTTCCTTCCAGACATTATAGTGAGGAAGTCCCAAAGAATATCTCTGAGAATACATGTATATAAATTAGAGAGAAAAGACCAAACTATGTAAACCAGTTTCCCTCCAGACATTATAGTAAGGAAGTCCCAAAGAATATCTATAACAATACATGTATATAAATTAGAGAGAAAAGACCAAACTATGTAAACCAGTTTCCTTCCAGACATTATAGTAAGGAAGTCCCAAAGAATATCTATAACAATACATGTATATAAATTAGAGAGAAAAGACCAAACTATGTAAAACCAGTTTCCCTCCAGACATTATAGTAAGGAAGTCCCAAAGAATATCTATAACAATACATGTATATAAATTAGAGAGAAAAGACCAAACTATGTAAACCAGTTTCCTTCCAGACATTATAGTAAGGAAGTCCCAAAGAATATCTATAACAATACATGTATATAAATTAGAGAGAAAAGACCAAACTATGTAAACCAGTTTCCTTCCAGACATTATAGTGAGGAAGTCCCAAAGAATATCTCTGAGAATACATGTATATAAATTAGAGAGAAAAGACCAAACTATGTAAACCAGTTTCCTTCCAGACATTATAGTAAGGAAGTCCCAAAGAATATCTATAACAATACATGTATATAAATTAGAGAGAAAAGACCAAACTATGTAAACCAGTTTCCTTCCAGACATTATAGTGAGGAAGTCCCAAAGAATATCTCTGAGAATACATGTATATAAATTAGAGAGAAAAGACCAAACTATGTAAACCAGTTTCCTCCAGACATTATAGTAAGGAAGTCCCAAAGAATATCTATAACAATACATGTATATAAATTAGAGAGAAAAGACCAAACTATGTAAACCAGTTTCCTTCCAGACATTATAGTAAGGAAGTCCCAAAGAATATCTATAACAATACATGTATATAAATTAGAGAGAAAAAGACCAAACTATGTAAACCAGTTTCCTTCCAGACATTATAGTGAGGAAGTCCCAAAGAATATCTCTGAGAATACATGTATATAAATTAGAGAGAAAAGACCAAACTATGTAAACCAGTTTCCTTCCAGACATTATAGTAAGGAAGTCCCAAAGAATATCTATAACAATACATGTATATAAATTAGAGAGAAAAGACCAAACTATGTAAACCAGTTTCCTTCCAGACATTATAGTGAGGAAGTCCCAAAGAATATCTCTGAGAATACATGTATATAAATTAGAGAGAAAAGACCAAACTATGTAAAACCAGTTCCCTCCAGACATTATAGTAAGGAAGTCCCAAAGAATATCTATAACAATACATGTATATAAATTAGAGAGAAAAGACCAAACTATGTAAACCAGTTTCCTTCCAGACATTATAGTGAGGAAGTCCCAAAGAATATCTCTGAGAATACATGTATATAAATTAGAGAGAAAAGACCAAACTATGTAAACCAGTTTCCTTCCAGACATTATAGTAAGGAAGTCCCAAAGAATATCTATAACAATACATGTATATAAATTAGAGAGAAAAGACCAAACTATGTAAACCAGTTTCCTTCCAGACATTATAGTGAGGAAGTCCCAAAGAATATCTCTGAGAATACATGTATATAAATTAGAGAGAAAAGACCAAACTATGTAAACCAGTTTCCCTCCAGACATTATAGTAAGGAAGTCCCAAAGAATATCTATAACAATACATGTATATAAATTAGAGAGAAAAAACCAAACTATGTAAACCATTTGCTGGGATCTTTGTCTTAGTTCAGCTCTTAAAACCTACTTCATATTCTGCTTATCATTTAATAACATTAGCATTGTTATTTCAAACCCTTTCATACATCAGACTTTCACCATAAACCGCTCGTTATAACGATCGCACTTTATACACATGTATGCGGCGTGAATCACTGCTTGTACCACATGGTACCTGGGTTACGAGTGATCGCGAACAGATTTGCAGGAAAGATTTGCTACCAATGAAAACAGTTCAACGATTCTGACTGTATTTACGTGAAGTTACTACAGGTTGATAGCAAGATTTTCTAACTTATCAATGACCCTTTAAGGTCCGTGGTAGAATAGGTCTTCAGCAACCCATTCTTGTCATAAAAGGCGACTATGCTTGTCGTAAAAGGCGACTAATTAACGAGATCGGGTGGTCAGGCTCGCTGACTTGGTGACACATGTCATCGGTTCCCAATTGCGTAGATCGATGCTCATGCTGTTGATCACTGGATTATTTACAGACCGCCGCCATAAAGCTGGAATATTGCTGAGTGCGGTGTAACACTAAACTCACTCAATCTAACTTATCAATAAATCATAATATCATGTCCAATATTGAGCGAAGTCTTTTTGATGACTGGACCATTTAGACATCATTAATGTTGAAGAGAAAATCGACTCCAGCTGAGCATTATGCAATTCGGTTACACTTTTTATAGAAATCAGAACTTTGTGGCACTTCTTATACAAGATAAACACCAGTGAAGGCAGCTAGCCAATGGTGACGTACTCATGTCACACAACAGTTCCTCAACTGACTTTGTTGATATTATTCTGAAACACATCTGATAACATTGTAGATGTATATATGTACACAATGACATTTCAACCTACCGCATCGAGTACAGGTCTGTTCCGTCCCCTTGTACAGAAGTTCTATCTCGCTTGTGTCACTGAAGGCTGGAACACAGACTAAATGATACGGGAACCACTACATGGACATCGTCGGGGACGTGGAGGACATAGAGACAACTACACCATGTGCTGGATACACCACTCTTGTTACTGGAGGCATTAACATACATGTAAGCTGGAGCAAACTGGTATTACTGCTGGTATTAGGTGGACAGTAATTCCACTGACTGAGAATGATCCTTTGTAAATGACAGAAAGTCACATTTCTAAAAAGTACTGAGCGTCATGCGCTTGAATAGCTTAGTTTGTACATGGGTGCTAACTGTGGGTGGAGGGCATATGTATGTATGATATATGTATTTATGAAAAGGTAATTTATAAAAGTTCACTTAAAGCCCAACCCGTTTTATGGTTTCCACAATGTTTTGTGACGCCTTCATGTTATTGCCGTATTAAAGCAAAGTAATAAGGCCATGAGTGAGTGAGTGATGTTCCACCAAGAGGATGGCAGCAAGGTAACATGCATGTGTAGATGGTGGACACAGCAAAGTGCATACACACAATCAGGATATGATTCTCCACGAATTCTTCACTTTAGGTATATCATAAAGTCATTTTTGTGTATCCATTTTGAGGTTTTTACAGTACGGATAAAAACGTAATCCTGAACGGTATTTTAGAAACATCCGTTTCGAAACAAAAGGTGAACAACTGGAAAATATTAGGTGATGTTTTCAACAGATCTCTATCCTCATTATTGTTTTATATAATCTATCCTCATTATTGTTTTATATAACAGGATAACATAATTGAAAAGCACCGATGTTCGAGTGCTTTGGTAATCGTTTTAGAGAGAAATAGATTTATCGTTCTTGTGGGAAGTTTGGATGTTCAATATGAAATGCCTCCAGGGGTTCACATAGTGTTTAAACTGCATCCCTTGTAACGTGAAGGATCTGTTTGCAACAGCTTACAAGGTGCTGACATTCACCTGTTGTTTTATGTTACTTACAGCTAAGTACTACTTTAATACTTACCCCGCTTAGACCTGAAACTAAAAAGTAAACAGTAATTAGTCTGCTATCGGGAAATGTAAATAAAATCTTTAAATATACTTGACATATATCCCCTGTTACACATTCAACACTTTTCATTTTAGTCTAATGATTAAGAACTATTATTTGTGTTGTGCATTTATCAAAGGGTAACATTGACACTTTGTACCAGATAACGTGAAAGTCATTAAATACTATAAAGCCCAGCCAAAACGACTTCAAAGAACTATACTAGTAAAATGTAGGGGATATTCCATTTTAGAAACCATGCTGTGTGCACTATAATAATATCAATGTACAATGTGTTTCGTGCTAACACGCCAATGTAAGCGTTTTTCATCCTGTGCACCTGAACATGGTGGGATGATATTTGAAGTTAACAGTGACACGAGCTGTGACAACGGTTTTTTGAATACCCCGTACTGTTTTCAAACAACTCCTTGAGTTAACTGCATCCATACCTCCTGCTGCACACCCCAGAGATGAAGACGATGTTGATGATGAGTGTGAGGACCACAGTGAAAAGTATTGATGTCAGCAGTGTTTCTTTGCGGTCATGATCTTCCTTTTGTTTGTGATAACTGCATTCTGTAAAATAATGCATATGCCTTGATAATGCCAATTACTGCCAGCAGTGTTTCTTGACGGTCATGATCTTCCTTTTGTTTGGGATAACTGCATTCTGTAAAATAATGTATAAGCCTCCATAATGCCAATTACTGCCAGCAGTGTTTCTTGACGGTCATGATCTTCCTTTTGTTTGTGATAACTGCATTCTGTAAAATAATGTATATGCCTTGATAATGTCAATTACTGCCAGCAGTATTTCTTGACGGTCATGATCTTCCTTTCGTTTGGAATAACTGCATTCTGTAAAATAATGCATATGCCTCCATAATGCCAATTACCGCCAGCAGTGTTTCTTGACGGCCATGATCTTCCTTTTGTTTGTGATAACTGCATTCTGTAAAATAATGTATAAGCCTCGATAATGCCAATTATTGCCAGCAGTGTTTCTTGACGGTCCTGATCTTCCTTTTGTTTGGGATAACTGCATTCTGTAAAATAATGAGTATGCCTCGATAATGCAAGTTGATGCCAGCAGTGTTTCCTGACGGTCATGATCTTCCTTTTGTTTGGGATAACTGCATTCTGTAAAATAATGTATAAGCCTCGATAATGCCAATAACTGCCAGCAGTATGTCTTGACGGTCATGATCTTCCTTTTGTTTGGGATAACTGCATTCTGTAAAATAATGTATATGCCTCCATAATGCCAATTACTGCCAGCAGTGTTTCTTGACGGTCATGATCTTCCTTTTGTTTGGGATAACTGCATTCTGTAAAATAATGAGTATGCCTCGATATTGCAAGTTGATGCCAGCTGTGTTTCTTGACGGTCATGATCTTCCTTTTGTTTCTGATAACTGCATTCTGTAAAATAATGTATAAGCCTCGATAATGCCAATTACTGCCAGCAGTGTTTCCTGGCGGTCTGATCTTCCTTTTGTTTGTGATAACTGCATTCTGTAAAATAATGTATAAGCCTCGATAATGCCAATTATTGCCAGCAGTGTTTCTTGACGGTCCTGATCTTCCTTTTGTTTGGGATAACTGCATTCTGTAAAATAATGAGTATGCCTCGATAATGCCAATTAATGCCAGCAGTGTTTCTTGACGGTCATGATCTTCCTTTTGTTTGGGATAACTGCATTCTGTAAAATAATGTATATGCCTCCATAATGCCAATTACTGCCAGCAGTATTTCTTGACGGTCATGATTTTCCTTTTGTTTGTGATAACTGCATTCTGTAAAATAATGAGTTTGCTTCGATAATGCAAGTTGATGCCAGCAGTGTTTCTTGACGGTCATGATCTTCCTTTTGTTTCTGATAACTGCATTCTGTAAAATAATGTATAAGCCTCGATAATGCCAATTACTGCCAGCAGTGTTTCTTGACGGTCCTGATCTTCCTTTTGTTTGTGATAACTGCATTCTGTAAAATAATGAGTATGCCTCGATAATGCAAGTTGATGCCAGCTGTGTTTCTTGACGGTCATGATCTTCCTTTTGTTTCTGATAACTGCATTCTGTAAAATAATGAGTATGCCTCGATAATGCAAGTTGATGCCAGCAGTGTTTCTTGACGGTCCTGATCTTCCTTTTGTTTGGGATAACTGCATTCTGTAAAATAATGTATAAGCCTCCATAATGCCAATTACTGCCAGCAGTGTTTCTTGACGGTCATGATCTTCCTTTTGTTTGTGATAACTGCATTCTGTAAAATAATGTATAAGCCTCGATAATGCCAATTACCGCCAGCAGTGTTTCTTGGCGGTCCTGATCTTCCTTTTGTTTTGGGATAACTGCATTCTGTAAAATAATGTATAAGCCTCGATAATGCCAATTATTGCCAGCCGTGTTTCTTGACGGTCCTGATCTTCCTTTTGTTTGGGATAACTGCATTCTGTAAAATAATGAGTATGCCTCGATAATGCAAGTTGATGCCAGCAGTGTTTCTTGACGGTCATGATCTTCCTTTTGTTTGGGATAACTGCATTCTTTAAAATAATGTATAAGCCTCCATAATGCCAATTACTGCCAGCAGTGTTTCTTGACGGTCATGATCTTCCTTTTGTTTCTGATAACTGCATTCTGTAAAATAATGTATAAGCCTCGATAATGCCAATTACTGCCAGCAGTGTTTCTTGGCGGTCCTGATCTTCCTTTTGTTTGGGATAACTGCATTCTGTAAAATAATGTATAAGCCTCGATAATGCCAATTATTGCCAGCCGTGTTTCTTGACGGTCCTGATCTTCCTTTTGTTTGGGATAACTGCATTCTGTAAAATAATGAGTATGCCTCGATAATGCAAGTTGATGCCAGCAGTGTTTCCTGACGGTCATGATCTTCCTTTTGTTTGGGATAACTGCATTCTGTAAAATAATGTATAAGCCTCGATAATGCCAATAACTGCCAGCAGTATTTCTTGACGGTCATGATCTCCCTTTTGTTTGTGATAACTGCATTCTGTAAAATAATGAGTATGCCTCGATAATGCAAGTTGATGCCAGCAGTGTTTCTTGACGGTCCTGATCTTCCTTTTGTTTGGGATAACTGCATTCTGTAAAATAATGTATAAGCCTCCATAATGCCAATTACTGCCAGCAGTATTTCTTGGCGGTCCTGATCTTCCTTTTGTTTGGGATAACTGCATTCTGTAAAATAATGAGTATGCCTCGATAATGCAAGTTGATGCCAGCAGTGTTTCTTGACGGTCATGATCTTCCTTTTGTTTGGGATAACTGCATTCTTTAAAATAATGTATAAGCCTCCATAATGCCAATTACTGCCAGCAGTGTTTCTTGACGGTCATGATCTTCCTTTTGTTTGTGATAACTGCATTCTGTAAAATAATGTATATGCCTCGATAATGCCAATTACTGCCAGCAGTGTTTCTTGGCGGTCCTGATCTTCCTTTTGTTTGGGATAACTGCATTCTGTAAAATAATGTATAAGCCTCGATAATGCCAATTATTGCCAGCCGTGATTCTTGACGGTCCTGATCTTCCTTTTGTTTGGGATAACTGCATTCTGTAAAATAATGAGCATGCCTCGATAATGCAAGTTGATACCAGCAGTGTTTCCTGACGGTCATGATCTTCCTTTTGTTTGGGATAACCGCATTCTTTAAAATAATGTATAAGCCTCCATAATGCCAATTACTGCCAGCAGTGTTTCTTGACGGTCATGATCTTCCTTTTGTTTCTGATAACTGCATTCTGTAAAATAATGTATAAGCCTCGATGATGCCAATTACTGCCAGCAGTGTTTCTTGGCGGTCCTGATCTTCCTTTTGTTTGGGATAACTGCATTCTGTAAAATAATGTATAAGCCTCGATAATGCCAATTATTGCCAGCCGTGTTTCTTGGACGGTCCTGATCTTCCTTTTGTTTGGGATAACTGCATTCTGTAAAATAATGAGTATGCCTCGATAATGCAAGTTGATGCCAGCAGTGTTTCCTGACGGTCATGATCTTCCTTTTGTTTGGGATAACTGCATTCTGTAAAATAATGTATTTGCCTCGATAATGCCAATAACTGCCAGCAGTATTTCTTGACGGTCATGATCTCCCTTTTGTTTGTGATAACTGCATTCTGTAAAATAATGAGTATGCCTCGATAATGCAAGTTGATGCCAGCAGTGTTTCTTGACGGTCATGATCTTC